TTTCTAGTGTATAAAAGTAAATTATTATACGTTGTCTCTTTCTTTCTACTTAAATGAGAGATGTGAAAAAATTATTAAGATTTTTAACGATTAAATGTTTGTAAAATATTGTGTGCTAATTGTTGCATTTTTTTCTAACTTTATTTTAATTTTTTATTCTTTAAATTTTATCTACTTTTTGTCGTGACTTGAACTTTTCGAAAATAATCTAGCAAGAATAGTATATCTTACTTTAAGACTTAATTTAATATGATCTCTATTGGAGAATTATATATCTAAATAAGAATATACTTCCGTACACTTTAAAGTAACCTAAATTTTCCGCGCGTGGTTTTATCTGCGAATGCATTAGACAAATTGAAATCAATTTTTTGTCTATCATTTCTATTTATATGTGTCTTTTTCTCGTGCATCTTTCATCTAAGTACGAAGAGAGACCACACATAATAATTTAATTTTATAAAATTGTTATTATATAACAGCTCTTAATTTATAAAAACATACGCTCGCGTGAGACCTCTCAGTCTCAGTCGTATAGAGAGGGAAATGTAACGTATAATCAAGATAAAACACGGTCTTTAATTAATTAGCATAAATGAAAATTAATTTGCTAAAATGATATATATCGTTGCAAATAATATTTGATAATTTCTTACGGAATCTCACCTCATAATTATCTCATTATTCGCATCAGTCATGCAAATAACAATTTCTAATTTAATAAAATTTAATTAAAATTATTTCAAATATTTCAAGATCTTAATTTTCATAAAATTTATATACCTAATGCTTTTCCGCGACGTTTACATGCTGGATAAATTTATTTAAAATTTATTTATCTTCGTTAAACAATGGAATGACATCCATCGTATTGTGATATCGCGGGTAATCTATTATTATCGATCAGTGGCATTAATTAATAACGAGACGTGGAAGGCGTGATGTATAACATTTTGCAGCACAGCACGAAGGCATTTCACTCGCAGTCTCAATAGACATTAAATACGTTATTGTATTATTTAAATTGAAAGCAATATGCGCAAGTCATCGGAAAATTAAGTAATTAGTGCATAGAACGGAATTTATCGTTGTGTAACATTACATGTCAATCACGACTGAAAATCACTATAATATAACAATAAAAGAGATATGCGACGATAATTGCATTAACATCCATAATCGAAGGATTTCTTATAAAGACATCGCGATAAATGGAGATGTAAAGATATTTATTCAAGATAATTTAAGATTATAAATTAAATCCCCCCGTACATATAAAAATTAATATTATAATAAAATCAAAAATTTTGACGTAACATCTTTCTTTGTAAAACGCGTTGTTCATCATAAAATAGAAATGTAAAATAAAAATATTGTCGTTAAAAAAAAATATTTTTTTTATTAAAAAAATAATAATTCTTTGTTTTCCGAACAAATAATTCATGATTAAAAAATAATAAATAAAAGTAGGCAGCTTCTATGAAAAGATGATAAAATGTGTTTCGTTAAATTCGATTGAAGCTGCCTCCAATAATTCGAAATTATTCGCTTGGTTTTTCATACAGTTGAGATATTTCACGTTTTATAAAAATACATATGCAGATGCATCGCATTTTTTAAATCATGAATATATCGAAATTATTAAGATTTTTCAGCGCATAATTTTATAAATGATTAAAAATGCCATTATACGTATCTCGATATTAACATCAGATTTTCATCGATAGACGTTTAATCATGAATAAACAAACATGTATTCACGCAAATATTATTGCGTGGAGCTGGAATCGTCGCATATTTCGATGGTCGAGATATAAAAAAAAAAGTAATTACCAGTTCTCTCTTTAACGACAATTATTATTCGCGATGAATATTCCGTTGTACGAAACATTAATAAATTAAAACAAACACGTGTCCCATCATCATTTAAATATTCCGTGTTTGAGACTATTATAATATATTTAAAATTTAATTACATATATCTATTCATTTCCCGTTTACTTTCTCCGTACAAAGGGAAAGGACGCGATGCACGATGATCCCACAAGCGTCGTGCAAGCATCGCAAATAAAATAAATGATAATTATGCGCAAACACATGACGTATGAGTAAATTTGCTCCGATCGATCGCGCCGTCCTCCTGACCCCGTCATCGATTCGTTCACGAGCGCGCATAGATGTATGGATCGATCGGTGAACCGCAACGTTAATTAGGATGGCGCGCGAGCTAATTAACAGCACATGACAGGTTCGCCCGTCGTTTTGGAATCTCGGCACTTTGTGCACGCGCAATGAGAAACGCACTCCTGACCTACGCACGCGACATATGTGTGTACGTACACATATGCACTGCGTTCGTGTATTTGAAGACCGGGCGGCAACACCACACGAGTGCGAATTTAAATTTGCTCAAAAAATGATGACTTAACGATGAGGGGCAGCGCGACATACTTGGCATATTTTTGATGCAAAATTAAAATGCAATCGTAATTAACGCGCTTTTCCACATTTTTATTTTCACTCGTCAGTTGAATTAACGGATTTTTTCCTCGCGTGTATTGCTTTCAAATTTGCACTTTCCGCGAATTTCAGAGGAGCAACCGCGGGATCGAGCCCTCCAGCTCTCTCGTTATTTCCGCAGAGTGAAAGAAGAGCGAATAATATTTTCCTTGCGGAGAATCAACGTTGACACACGTTGGAATCATCGCGAACGAACAGAAACGCGTAATTAGACAAGACAGATCAATTATAACTCACCGATCGATGCACCGCCGTTGGCTGTTTCCCGCCACCAGCATCGGGTCGAATGCTCGGCTCTCGTCGATCGGACCAGGGAGGAAATTGCACCGGGTGGTTCGAATCGTGCTGGTTGGAGCGTGCCAATAATCGGGGACGCTCTTCCCACGACGCCGTCCTCGAGGTTTATCGCACTCACGACACACGTTACGAGTCACGTTGCCGGGGAAAATCGCGGAAAACCGCGACGTGCACGCGGCGAATTCCTCGGTAGGCGCGCGACGCACAGCACCGTGACGCGGTCACCTTCGGACTACGCGGCAGCGGCAACTTCTCGCGGCTTGGTCGCGCGCGGGAGCGCGGGAGAAGTGGGGGAAGCGCCGACACGCCAAGCGCGAAATCAAAACACAACATTCCGGCGGTCTATCTCCACCGTAATGCGCTGTCCTTGGTATTAGTAATCGTGTATCGAGTCAAAGGGAACGACGCGAGCTTTACGACTAGTAATTTTATGGCTCTCGAAAGTGAAACCTCGTACCTCGTACAAGACGACGACGGAAATCTCGATAGCGGCAACAACTTCGCGAGATATTCCAAGCACAATCGAAGCACATTCCAGGGGTCCGTGTATCCCTATCGCGGTGTTATTCGCGGTAGTTTATTCGTGCCGGGTAGAAGAAAGCGAGACGTGATTTTTATCGCTGCTATTCCGTCCCCTCGAATGAAGCCTCGAACCCAGACGGTGACGGTGACGTCAAATCTCGATGACAGCGGCACTTGTCCGTGCTGGTCGCGCGCGAAAGCAACGGACACGTACCAAGTTCGAAATCGAAATAATATTTCGTCGTAGGTAAATAACGTAACGTATTTATAATCGTATTCGTGTGTGTCGATGTTCAGCAAGATAGAAAAGTGTGTAGAATATTCACGCCGTGCGTGAATATGGAAAATGGATAGAGATCTCGGAAGAATTCGGCTGAATTTATAACCTTCAATATAAAGTGCAGGTAATTATAAATTAATACATATAATATATTGATATATAAATTAATATATATAATATATCACTAATAATCATTCGTGCCGAATAAAAGAGAGGGGAATATAAGTTTTATTAGCAGCTTTATCTCTTTGAATGAAAAATAATACAATTTTTTGTCGCGACTCTCGGGAAAGAGGAGTGAGGGAAGGGGAGGAGGGGGAGCGCTAGCGTCCCCAGCACAAGTGCGAAAATCATAACAAGACCTTCACAGTATTGAGAGTGATTCGGGAAGATTTTGCGGCAGTTTTTGTCGGATTTAAAGGAAAAAAGGATCGCATTTTTAACCCGCATTCCGAATGTTACAGCTCTATGTTTCGTCGCGAGACATTCGAGATGGTATAAATCATCCTGTCAAGTGTGTATGCGCGGTATCTGTCGGAAAGTACGTGTGGAAAAGATGTTAAAGGAATCTTGGAAGCGAGCCCGACTCGTTCTCGATGCTACATTGATATAATTAATGGGTAATTATAAATAATTATGTATCGTTTATATAGTCATTCGTGCTGAATGAAAGACAGCTACTAATTTCGCCTCCTCGAGCTCGAATAAACATGGCAGCGATAATTTCTCGTCGCGGCACGTTGCAAACGGAAAAAGGGAGATCGCGAGGCATATTAAACGCGAAATTAAAACGCATTTCAAAATTAAACACATTTTAAAGCTGGAAAAAAAATGTAACGAAACGCGTGGGAAAGAGAGGGGTGAGGAATGCGACATACAAGAAAGCGAAATCAAAACGTACATTTGTATTCATATTCCGAATATATTCATGTTACAGCGCTGTGTGACATTCGAGACGAGTCATCGTGCATGTATGTAAAAGGACATGGACACCGTACATGGGTGTGGAAAAGAGACAAAGAGATTCTTGGAGCGAGCTCGGCCACCGGTTTTACGTCACTAGCAGGTAATTCTAAATTATTGTTCGCGAAAAGCTCTCGATATTTATTATACATTCGACGTTGCTACGCAGATGTTTGCACATTTTTCATTAAATAATTTATACTACAATACCGAAAATATTTGATTTCGTATTATTATTATAATATCGATTCTTGTTTTTGATATGGAAAAAAAGCAATTAAAGAATAAAGAGAGAAAAAGGAAACATCTTTTCATCTATTAATAATGCGGCTTTTAATAATGCAAGTTTGTTAGAAACAATATTGTCAGATGCATATCGGTATTCTGTCAAGTAACGTACACGATCGAAGATATTTTGTTAAGCTCCTAAGAGACGCTTAACAAAATATCCGGGGAAAGCATAAATTCCACATGCTACTAGAAGCACGAATAGGGTGCATACAAAACAGCAGACTATTCGCCATTTATAATAGCGACAAACGACGAAGCGGCACGCTCTCCACGGATTGCGAAACCAGGAGAAAGAGGTGTCAGGTCGCCTGAAAATATATGCTGATGTAACATACATATAATAATAATTAACAATTCAGTACGGTACTAATTAACGAATAAATTAATAAATATAAATAATAAATATAATTAATAGTTTATATAATTATTAATAATATAATTAATAGCATTTATTAATATACTAAAGGTAGCTCTTTTTCATGCAAATTATTAGAAACAAAAATTGTAAATGCAAGAATATATTAGAAACAATATTTAAATTAAACGCGATTCAAGATTTATAAAAAAACTTTTTTTAATAATATAACTATAAACAATAGAAATAAAATGGAAATCTAGTGAATTATTATTTTATTATTTTCTTGTTGATGTAATGAATTATTGTTACATGCAATGCAATGCTTAGTCGTTTGTCCAAAAAATATATAATATATAATTTATAATTTTTCTTATCAAATCAATTCGGTACTTTTGCATTTGGAAATTAAAATAGGAAAATATGAGTTATAATTTTATAATAAAATAATTATATACAAAATAATAAAATTAGACTAAAAGAAAATAAACCTTGGATATGGAAGATTTTGAGGCGGATCTCTTCCTTTTCCTACCGGTTGATTGTTCGCATCCATTGCTCGCAAAATAGATATTTCCAACTCAACTTTACCCTGCGATAAAATCTATTTAATAATCTTGTTTTAATCTTTTTTGAAATTATATTCCTAATTATATATGTGTCTTAATGAAAAACTGTAAACCGTTCTCGCTTATTGTAGCACATTTTACCGCTTGAATATATTTTCCGCTGTCGATAGTGCGAGCAAATGGCCACCAAGCTCTAGTTCGCGTAACTTTAAATAAATTTATGGTTGGTGATTGCGGTTCAAGTAATTTCATCGTACAGTTTTTGGAGTTTGAGCTGCCCCGCGGCATTCTCGGCAAGTCAAGCGTCAACTCTCCTGCAACAAGTTGATTACTTTAGAAAAGCGTAACGATTACAGGACATACCGTAAATTACATTAATAAATCTTGAGTAAACTTGAGTAAACTTGATAATATATTCTTGACCTTATATTTTCCAAGTATACGTTTTTCATTTGGAAAACTCAGTTTTTTCGCGTCAAAAAATTTAAACTCTTGAATTTTTTTAATTTTGCAAATTGCGTGAATTTACATATATATACACTATTCAAAGCTTATTAAAAAGTAATTAAAATAAAATTATTAATTGCAAATAAAATACAAAGCATGCGTACTTTGCATCGCGTGTCGACGACTTTTTTTTTAAACGTTTCTTTAATGGGAGATATCGATAAACTTTAATCACCTAGAAAATCGTCCGAAGAAAAATGATCGCTGTCCCAGACTTGCAAATGAAGTTTGCAGGGCAATTTTTCCTCAGTCTCGTTTTTAGCGAAGACTGATATTCTCCTGCGAATTATCATGACATTTTCGCCCTTCGAATACGTGACACGAAACACGAATCTCCAATTAAAGTTGCCCTCGCCGGTCAGAGAGTTGTAATGAACATCGGTTTTCTGATAATCCTCGTATAGGATCCATCTAAATAATTATCGCGAGTGAGAGTTTTCTAATTCGACAATAACAAATTAATCGGTCGATTATATCGTACATTTTACTCGCGTCGTAAAATTCGTTGTTTCAAAAATTTAATGGCGAACATCATGTTACATTTTCCGCTATCATATATTTAGATTTATTATGTCGAAAGAGCGAAAAATGAATGTGATGTATTATTTTGCGACGATCCATCATCAATTTAATTGCTATTACATTGTGTTTCTCAAATTGTGTTTCTCGATGTAATTTTCGAAAAACACATTTTTCACGATTATATATTTGCAATGACATACCCCTTGACGTAAATGTCGGAACACTTCTCTCCCGTGAGAAATTGGCTTTCGACCAGCGGCACATCCTCGGTATTCCAAATGATTACGCGAATTTCATATTCCTCCGGTGTTGGAGGAGCAATGTTGACCGCAGCTTTCGGCGGCAATTGTCCGACACGAAACATATCGATCCACATTTCGAGTTTGCCCTAAAAAGATATACGCGAATGCACATATTTCGGCGACGCGAGTGGAAAATATTTTTTTCGATCATTTTTTTTCGGGTAAAATTGATGCTTGAAGATCCAAGTTAGCTGGGAAAGTTTTTTGATCTGATGAATATAGTTCGTCTGACAAAACCCGCAATATAATTAAGATATAAAGGGATTTTTCCTTTTTCTCTTGGGGAGAGAATAACGACGTCTGTATGAAAGTCACGTTTTCTCCCCCGAAGACCAGAGTTACTTTTCGCGATGAATTGGCGTGTTTTACGTTACCTGCTCGAGACCGGGCCTCTTAGCGTTGAAAAGTGGTCGTCTCTCGACGTGTTCTAATACGAGGGCGCATCCGCAGATAGGAAAATCTTGCCAAGAATGAAGCACATTTAGAGCCATGCATTCTTCTCTGTCTGTCAGCGTAAGATCAAGTGTTTAACGTAAATTCACTAATTAGTATCGAGAAACGATGTATGTCGAGTAAAAAAAAAATATCTTTATTTTATAGCAATATTTCTGCGCGCTCTCTTTATTTGAAGCTCGTTTTTTTTGGAAAATTATTCTTTTAAGAAAACAAATAAAAATACAAGAAATCTCTTAATGTAAATGTTTTTGAATTATGAAGTAAATATTTATACGAGTTTCACATTTTTATTATATTATTTTTTATTATTTTATTATATTATTATTTTTAATTATATTTCACGATATAAACGTTAATTTATATTATTTTTATTATGTGGAATATGTGTGATATTTGTGTGATATATATTATATGTACATTAAATTATATATAATAATATCATTTTTAATAATTGAATCGGATAATCCTTGAAGGATGAAATATAACATACTAATCTCGTCTTCGCGTTCGATGACGGCGTGAAAGGGAAATGATTTCTTGCCGATTTTAACTTCGCGTTCGCCGTATTCCGGTAACGGTAGGTTGTTCCTTCTGCAGAGGAGCTCCAGAATCTGCGTCGGCCTCTCGCGATCTCTCCAGGCATTGTAACCGGTAGTACTGTAAATACTCGCGATTCCGCAATGGGCCCGGTGCCGGCTGTAGAATCGATTCTCGATGTCGATTCGCGTCTCGCCGATCAGATCATCGGCTGTCGCGGCATCAAAGTCCCACACTTGGATCTCTAACATATAATCCTGCGGGAAGGTCGCCTCGATCTCGAACATGCTGCCGGATAATAATGGCTTTGAGTTATTTTTTTCGCGCTCTATATGATTAATCTAAAGAAAAAAATTTACATGAAATTGTCTATAAAATTTTTTACAAACATCTCGCAATATTTTTCAGGACATTAAATTAAATTAAACTAACGTGAATAAATTAAATTTTATTTCGCTTATCACTTTGTTCTATATGCGAGAAATCATTTAGTTGTCAATCATTCTCTTTTATCCTTGAGAAGGAAAGACAAGGATTTTGGTTGACAGAATAATATCACTCAAACATAAATTGCTGTTACATTTACAATACGCTGTTACGTAGAGTAGCTGAAAAACCTGATCATGCAGTTTGGAAGCTGCAAAAAAGCCGATACGCACGGATGCACAGATGGATATCGATAAAGCATTTCCCGATAACGCCTAAAGGGAGTAAAGCTACTGCTAGACGCGCCTTCGAAAGAAGCTACGAACGGCTTTTTTGCAGATTTTACCGGCCAAACGTAGGGTTCAATTGATTGGGTATATAATTCTTCCTGTCGCTGATGGAATTTTTTCCCAGCTTTACGTAAAGATACGGGTCGGACTTGCCGCTGAGAGGATCCTTAGGCTGTAAGTTGATGCCTGCGCGAAAAGCAAATTTACCGTCGACTTGATGCCAAGGACGAGCGCCTCTGGTTTGTCGAGAAAAATATAAGGTGTGCTAGGGAAAAAAACCTCCACGCATAAAATGAAAAAGGATGTAAATCATCCTTCATATCTTTTTAATAAAAAAGGAGAAATACATGGGATAAGAGATCACGTATCTCACGGGTTCGCTCTCGACTGCAATTTTAGATTTCTTGATAAATTTCAAGTTTACTTGTGTCACGACTTTATTATTTAGTAATTTTCGAGAGTAGATGTCTCGGTAATGTAGATGCAAATTTTCTTCTCGAGAAATTCAGTGTTTTTCTCTTTTATTTATTTTCTCTTTTTCGCGATGCAAGTGGTATGATATGAAGACTAACCCTTTACGACGTACAGTCTAACGAGCAGCTTAACAGGCTCTTGAGGCGGATAATCGTTGCACAGGCCATTAGCCGCGTCTCTCCCGTTTCTCGTTTTGCATGGAAGCTTGTCAGGATGCGGCCATCGATATATAGAAATATGTCCCTGATGGAAGTCCAGATTTTCGCGTTTAAACGTAAGATTTTAATATATCATGTGCCTGAGACGTTTAATAAATTTATATGATTCGAACGTCACGTATACTTATCGCTCGCACTTATTCGTATTCGACAAATTCATAATTTTTTTTTACATTAATTAACCTTAAATTTGCCGGTACAATTATCTTCAACCCGATAGTGTGTCTTGCCTCTTCTTCCGCGCCACAACTCGAAAGTGCTCAGCCGGTCCTGAAACCCCTCGAATTGCGGCTGCATCTCTAGTTCCGTGGAATAAATCTGCTTTCAGTGTCTAAGCGATCGAGTTCGGGCAAATTCATTAAAGCGTACCTTGAATGTTGCCACGAATTTACGACGAAACGTTGTCGTGATTCCCAATTCTCTATTTCGCTCTTCCTACGGAACCAACGTGACGTACTAAATTTGCATTATCGGATGTCTCGGTTGATTGATCCTAGCCGATTCGTGTTCTACGTCATTATCGTTAGAACCGGTTCATTTATCAATAACGCGATTTATGTACAAAATTAAGAAATAAAATTAAATTCAGGGAAATTCAAGATTCGAAGGATTACGCGAGCTCGAATATGTGAAAATTTGAGAATCTAAGAATTTAATTTTTCGCAATTTATAATGCGACATACAAACAAATTTAAACACTTTAAAAACTAAAACGGAGCGGAATAATTAAGCATTTAAGCTTTTAAGCTATTAAGCAGCTTAAATGTTTAAGTATCTAACTTACCGAACATTAACTTGATAAACGTCTAAATAGCTAAGCAATTAAGTTACTAAGCTTCTCAGAGCAGTGAGATATCTAAGCAATTAATTGCTAAATCTCTAGGCAATTAAATATCTAGGCGGTTAAATATTTAATTAATTTGATATTCAAGCTCTAATATTGAAAATTATTAAATGGAGAATTTATAAGCATATGTTTTGAGGATTAAATATTGGCGATTTTTTTATTTATCATATTAATAAATTCTCGAAAAAAGAATGAATTATAATTTTAATAATAGTTTCTTTTTTACTCGAACCGATTCTCTCATCTACATACCTGAAGGGAAGCAAAATATTTACTCCACCAACTGAGAGTCTCATCATCATTGTCTCCGTAAATTTCTACTTTTTTTCTCCTGGTAAAGAACTTGAATTTCAATATCCTCTTTATAATTACAAACAACCTCTTCAGCTTGGAGAGGATGTCCGTTCCAGCCATTCTCTTATATGCAATGAGACCCTTGATCTCCTCTTTCGAAGGACTATAATCGATTGGTAAAGGTACTAGCCTCAAAAATAAAAAAGTAAATATTATATATATAAAACATATGCTTAGAGAATAATATAAAAAGTAATTTGTAATGATATACGCGTGTGAAAGATAATAAAATAATAAAATTGACAAGAGGAACGTAATAAAATAATATTTCTTTTTTTAATTTTCTTAAATTTTAGCTTTTTTCGTTCCGTTTTGTATAGTATCTAGAATATAATAAAAAAATGGAATTTATTTTTCTTTTCATCAATTTCGAATTTAATTCAATTCGAATTAAAATCTAATAAGATGCAAAAAAAGATTAGGAACCAAAGACGCAAGTAATGGTACGTGATAGTAATAATATATTATGATAGAAACTTTGTAAAGTTCCAAGTTGCTCTAAGTCCTTATCAAAGCCAAATAGGAAAAACATAATATATCGTTTCTTTTCAATTTCTTTTTATTTTATTGCATTGACTTCTTTCTTTTATTATTCAGTCAGTTGGTTTAAATAATATTATGTTTTTCTTATTTAACTTTGAAAAGGATCCAGAGCAAAGTCGAAACATCGTCGATAGCAAACTTTAAATATATATTTTTGCGCTTCTTATTGTGTATGTAAGTGGAACAACTTTATAAAGTTTCTATTATAATATATTATTACTATCACGCACCATTACTTGCGTCTTTGGTTCCTAGTCTTCTTTTACATCTTATTAGATTCTAATTTGAAATTGAAGAAAAGAAAAATAAATACAATTTTTTATTGTATTCTAGATACTATACAAAACGGAAAGAAAATAGCTAAAATTTAAGAAAATTAAAAAAGAAATATTATTTTATTAAGTTTCTCTTGTCAATTTTATTATTCTATTATCTTTCACATTTATTCTATTATCTTTCATCTTTATATTAATATATTATTACTTTTTACAAATTAAACCATTTTTACATATTAAAAAAATTTGTTTACTTATACGTATTAAAAATTTATGATATATAAATAAATATGCACTAACACACTACCGCCGCCTGTCGTTCCGCTAATCGAAATTTTTGCATAAATTTCGGCTCATATATCTGCGCATCATAATCCTCCGCAGTTATTAATTGCTCCAGGAACACATGGATGTTGGGTATAATACAGATCCCTGCATACTTGAAGCAACCGAATCCACGGGAGTCGTAAGCCTTTATAGTGATGCTCGGATAATAAATGTCAAGTTCCGGCATTTCCTAGATAATTTATGCTTTTTAGAGCAATTTCCCCGCTTCCATATAGTTATTTAATTAGACTTTAATAATCTTAAACTGTCGTAATTAAAGTAATGACTTGTTATTTTTATTGAAAGGATTAATCCAGTCTTTAAAAAAAAATATTAAAAAATTATCATTGATTTTTCATATATTAAATTGAGATAATTGAGATGAGCAGCTCGCATAAAGTCTGTAATCAAATATTTTCGAGATTACCAGCTCAATTATAATGCGCGGCTCCTCAAAGTTGCTGAATCTCTTTGCGTTCTTCATCACTTCCGACTTGACGTGGATTCCAGCGCATTCCACTATAATTCTTGGTCTACGAACCGGCATACAATTTATCTTCCTCATGTCGCGAACACCCCAAAAGATCACCTCGAGCCTGTAGCTTGCCATTTTTGGTCTGATATCCGCTGGGATGCTGTAAATCTTATCTTCCGCTGGCGTATCCAATGGAACATCCAAAATCTCCTTGTTTTCCGTCTGTGCAATAGTACACGTGTACATTTTGACGGATATGTGCGTGTTGACATAACGTGTTCTCTCAAGAGATTAAAAAATAAAACAACACATCAAATATGTATAAAATATATTGCAACGAAAAAAGAAAAGAGAGAGAGGCGACAACACCGGATATATGTATAATATTTGTCGCGAGGAAAATCGATTTAAACTCACTTCTATCAATTCGAAAGCGGCGAGGATCGAGCCGATGCAATCTTTTCGCGGCTGAAATTCGTACCATTGTAATTTCGGTGGAAAATCGGGCGGCGAGTAAGTTTCTAGTGCAAGCTTCACTAATGGCACCGCGATACATTTGCCGCAGAATTCCTTCGTGGCCTGCATTATGTTTTTTACACAAGTACAATATATAAATGTGGAAAAAATAGCTTTAAAATTTTTTTAACTTCCGCGCTTGAAAATTATTTTAGATATATTGCAAATAACGCGGAAAATATAGTTTTCATGTAAATCATATTTTGATATTTACATTATGTTTTTTACACAAGTACAATATATAAATGTGGAAAAAATAGCTTTAAAATTTTTTTAACTTCCGCTTGAAAATTGTTATTTTAGATATATTATAAATAACGCGGAAAATATAATTTTCATAACCACATTTAATATTTGACATAATAAACCACATTTTGATATTTGACATTTTTGTTTTTTTAACGCACATTTACTATAGGTTTTTTTTTTCTAAAAAAATATTGGAAAATTTATTTCCCTTACGCATAGATCCTGGTCGAAAACCTGCAGGACAACTTCAGGTGGTGACGATTTAATGTATTCATTAGTGCCGTGTAGGACAATTGGGGGAAAAATTAACGTCTGATCCCAAAATGGATCTAAACTTTGCCTTATCACCTGCGAATACATTAGTCTTGCTCTCATTTTCTTAAATTTATTAACTTATTAATTCGTCCATTAACTTTTTTACTTAATTGATAGATATATTATTTTCCAAAGAAAAAAAATAATGACACATGCAAACTTAATTTCTTACTTTAAATATAAATTAAATTGAATAAAATAAAACATCAAGTGCACGTACATATGCACATAACGCATACGAAACACAGATGCATATCGCTATCAAAATGATATCTTCATTTAAACGTAATATGTTGCATGTGCAACATTAATCATGCTCATGTTACATTAGTCGTTTCGTCCTCGTGCGTTTCGAGTGAAATGTCATAGGAATATGCGCCGTAGGAATTTCACGGTATCATGACCGTAAATACTGGTATTGCGTATCCACGATCGCCAAGCGAATTATAGAATTATCGCAACGAACGTTGATCGAACTCGCGAGAAAAGCCGGGAAAGAAGAATCCGCGCGATTTATATGCAATGTGTGACATTTACCGGCGAAACTTGTACGTAACTCACTCGCGTGGAAGTCGTGTATCCCTGGAACGTGACACGTACAAAGGAGTCCGTCAAGCCGGAAGCGTCCATTCCAGGATCGAAGCGACCTTGAAATATATGAGCTCGCAACTGGAACGTCTGTAACGATCGCATTGCACATTGATTTCATTTTCACGCTGCCTATTTAGCCTCATAATATCGAACCCTATTCAACCAACGCGGACAATCGTATTCTTATCTACATTCGACGTGTGATGTATGATGAATCGCGCATTTCGTAACTATCGCGTCGTTCTCTCACCGAGGACCGATTGTACTCGATGTACTTCGGGAAGGTATTGACGTTGGATCCATGATCGATCTCGTATCCCGGAGGGATCGCGCTCCAACAGGCAGCGGCGTACTTTGCGTTGCCGAGCCACAAGAAGGCTTCGATTTTACAGGCACTGGGCTCGATGCCCTTGTTGTCCTCGTCGTCCGGATTTCCGGGGAAGAGGCTGAATCGTCGGCCACATTTTGCGCCTGCCTCGACGGCTACCTCGGAATGAACAATCTGCTCCGCGGATAGTCGCGAGTAAGCGACTCGCTTCGAGCCGGCGATCATCCAGATGAAGACGTCTGGCAGACTGTGCTGAGGCTGATTAAGGATATTGAGATGTCATTTGACGTCGAAATTATAAAGAAAGTTTTAAATTCATCAGATTCTTATATTAGGCTTATTTTGAAGAATGTTTAGTTTAAAGATGTCACTTTGAATATTTATTTCTCCACCCGAGAGCAAATCATTTGACTCACATCTTCGCACAGTTTCCGCAATTTTTTCAAGTATTGATGCCCGTGAATCATGGCGATTCTCATGTAATTGTTGTTTGGAAGTTCGCCGTTGATCTTGATCCTCTCGAGAATGTTTTCGACGCTTTTTAGACACAAGCTCGCGCGATGGCGATCGAGTTTAGTAGTTCCACCTTTCTTTTCATACTTGCCGGTGTCCAATATATATAGATAGCGCTTACAGTGAGCTTTCAACGCGCGGATCGTCTCGTTATAAACCTCGAAAGCTGTCGGATTCTGCGTAGCCATGAGAGCCTCTAATTTCTCTAGTCTTACCTCCTGGGAGCGGATTAAACAATTTTTAAGATACTTGATTCACATAGAAATAGCATCGCTTTCATGCGTCGAGAAATTTCGCGATATTTCAAGATACAAGTTTGATTATTATTCCGCGCAACTAAAGGTCTTATTCTCCCTCGCAAATAAATTGGCAAATAATTTTAATAGTCTGACTTCAAAACGTTTATTTTTTTATTAGAAACAAAATTTAAAAAATTAAAAAATACATTTTTAAATGATGTTGCAACGAACCAAAAAGTCGGCGATATATCGGAGATTATTGCTATTGTACATCCGCCATTCCAAATTTGGCCACCAAGACCTCACGTACAGACAAGGCTTTCTAGAACCCAAGGGTACATAATTATATCTGCCGTCCAAGCTGCCAGTAGCTCGCGGAACTGATTGGCTCTCGAAGTTCGGTCGCTTTTTTAGCAGCTCGTTTTCTGCCAAAGTCGAGAATAGACAGAGACGATGAGTATATTTTCGTCGCACGTTCAGGGCTAAATATGGTCTCCCGAAACTCTCGCGTGACTTCGACAGTGATATTTTCCATTTGACAAATAGCTTGAAGAAGACAAGAGTCAACAACGGTGACCAGTTTTCAAAGAATTCCGCTGAAAAACATCACGCGATATCGTAAATTTTGAAAATTTCATATTTTTGTCGAGAACCACTGTAGAAATCAATCGATTGTTTCTCCTCTACTCCTTTAATTGCGAAAAATAAGAGAAAGATACTTGAAGCGAGTGGAAACTTTTTCTACAATATTATCGCATTTAGTAAAGAAACTTTTTAAGATAGATAGAATACGGCCAACGGGAATAAAAGTTTACGTCGCACCTGATTGGTCGTCGTTATTGCTCTCAGAGCATTGGCTATGTAGAAATTGCCGATTGCCCGCGTTTCCCAGACTCAATTCGAAGCTAATCAATTTCGATCCGAATCGAGAACGATCGATCATGCACACATCATAAAGCACGCCTACCAGGAGGTATTCGTCGGTCGACCACAGGCTTTTCTAGATTCCACAGTTTTCTATGAGCTTTTATCGCAACAAAAATAAAAATCTCGCAAACCAAAGAAGAATCATTCTATAAAAATTACATGGAAGTATGTTTTGTTTTATATATATTTTTTTAATTATTTGAATTATTATAAGCTTTCAATTTATATTAAAATTCTTACTTGACGCTTGCTTAATTTATTACAAAATAAAATAAAGTCGCACATAAATTTTTTTTACAATATAATTATATAATATAATTATAATAATTATATAAATTATATAATTTTTTATACATTTTTATATACAATTATTAAAATTCTTACAAGCATCACTGAGATGGCAAATTTGTTTTTCTTCGTAAGGGAGAAATTGCAACTGTATAAAATAACAATCGCGGAAATAAAGAATAATAATAAATTGAATCACCTCGATAATGGGAAATGCCGAAAGTGTCTCAACCCGGATTCCCGGGGACGCTTCTGGGTCATCCATTTCAGTTTTCAACGACAAAAGTACCCTTCCGCGATACAAAGGCATCGCCATCAAACATCGGCCCGAACAACCGTCCTTCTCTACTGAGCCGGATCCGTAAAAGTGGATAAAAGACGGCCCATACGTTGGTAGGAATCCTGTTAGTGGAAAAGCTAAGCGTTACCTTTCGCAATCAATGTCGCACGTTGCGTCACGCTCTTACGTTATTACTTCCCGGCTCGAACTTTGTCATACATCTCTGAGCTTTAATTAGATCATGTTTGGTTCAAAGAAATCTATTTACGTAAATAGTTATTCAGGCATGACGCTGTTATAGGAAAATCTAATTTATTAGACGAAAAATTGATGGAAACATATAAAAGTGCAAAGATAGAGATATATTTATATCGAAATTATATTTCATCCGAAATCAATTATCTGTTGGGCAAAATCAAGTGCGCCATTTCGCGTGTTCTTGGCAATAAATTACCCGTATATTTGGCAATCTCACCGTACTCTCCGGAATTCGAAATCTTTGTCATGTCCAGGATATGAACTGCTACAACGCACGTTCGACAACTGTCGATACGGTGTTTTATAGCGATTCGCACACGATGGCAGAGAACAGGAAACATTTCCTTGAAAATGATGCCCTCGTGAAATTTCGGGGAGTAGGTTTGCCACTCTTCGCTTGTCGATCCCTGATAGAAGCATTATATTTTAGTTCGACCGAAAAGCAGCATTACTCTATAAACATTACGCTCTAAATAGATTCCTGTCGTTGTATAATAGCAATGTGTTATATAATATACACATACACACGTACATGCACACGCGTACACACACGTTAAATATTTCTCTCGTAGAGAGAACTCGCGACATTTTAAATTTTCATTTCCGTGATTAAAAAGTCGAGTAATTAATTCCAGCGTACTTTCATCCCGGCGAATGATATTTGCACGTAGGGATTAATGTTCTCGAAATCACTTTTTCTGCACAGGCTGCTCATGTCTGGCAATCCATCGGCGCGATAAACCGTGAAAATGTAACGCGCGCGTTGCCTAAAAGGCAGCTTCTCGCTTCCAATAGGCAGCAATAAATTCCTGCCACGTTTATTTAAATATATTCCCACGATATTGCAGCATAAGAGCGATTAAAATTCTGATGAGAAAGCCAGTATAAATATAGACATGTTAATAATATGTCCATTTATGTAAATATTGAAAAGAAATTACCCTTCGATGTCATCTTCGCCTTCCGTTTCTGGATGCACCTTCACCTTTTCACCTTTCGCGTTCACCGTAATATTGCACTTTACGTAACCCTTTGGACCCGCCGACGGATTTTTTGGGTTCATTAGCACAGCCCATTTATGAAAATATTGTCGGTCTACAAGCGAGAATATATTAAAAAACTATATTTTTTAAAGCTACATTTTTTAAAAATATTTAAAATATAATTTCTTTTTTTATTTCTAAAGCTTTATGGTTTGTCAATATTCTTATTTCTTAATTTTGTTAACACTTGTTAAATTGTTTGTTAGTCACAAAAATTTTAACTACTGCCTCCTTTTAAATTAAATCTCGTACAAAAAATTTCGTCGAAAGCAAAGATTTCCCTCGTTATTTCTTATTTAATTCATGTTTATAACCTGGCTGTTCCCATACTGTTGCGACTTCAAAGGAAATACTTCCATGAAACCTTCGCCGAAGAAAATTCCTCAGATACACGGCTATCGTGATTCTCGTGCTTAGTAGAGTATCCAGACTACATGTGAAGTCGAATACGAAGTACTGCATGTTTTAAAGGGCAAAATATAAATTCGCAAATAGGATAGGAACATTTTAAACGCGTATTAATACATGAAAAGACATTTCTTTTGAAAGAAATATTCTAAATTATGGATCATAAATTCCAGTAATAATAGTCTCAAGTTTTTAAACTAAAACTAACCAAAGTCTACAATGTCTCAAGCATATCAATATCAAAATAATGTAATTAGCATATCATTTCGATCGCAAGATTTAAAAATTAGTTTTGGCAACCAAGTTGAAGAGGATTTAGAAATATGAATTGTTCAGGAACACATGGAATAATATTGCACTGTAATTTCGGGTCGCGTATTACTTTTACATCAATCAATAGATTGTCGACAGATTGGATAACTTCACCTCGTTATAAATAGGATTATCGGTCCTCTCGCGTACCACGGTTCTTCTTTTGCGATTCCCGACTTTAACGACGACCAGTGGATTCGCATTTTGCGGCAAGTGCTTCGCTTCGAGTATAGTTACACAGACTTGGTAAATGGAAACCTTTGGTCTGAATTTCTTGAAAGGCATCGCGCACGGCCCGCAAAATCGATCGCTGATATTGGCCAGGCGCCAAATGTTATTTGCATTTGTTTAACTTGCCGTTTGTTTGTTTCAGAATGCATTCGAAGGCGCGACAGCTGGGAATTTATACGAGGCAGAGACAATACAAGGCGGCGAACAACATACTACATCTTTTCAGGTATTTCTAAGATTAAAAAATTTCGATTTTAAAAAATTTGATCTTTACGAGAGAGATTCCTTTTTAGAGCAACAATATTTTATATTTTAAAATATTATTTATTCTCAGACCGCGCGCGAAATATATTCTTTTGCGTTAAATTTTTTTTCTAAATTTTAATACAAAATTAATTTTTAAATTTTTAAAAAATGTGTGATATAAAAATTATAATAGTGTTTCTATTGTAATGAAATGTCTCTTTATTTCCTTGTATGCGTTTTGATTTATAAATTTTATATATTACATCTCTCTCATATTTGAGATATTTAGAAACAAGATAACTTATTAGCAGATATTTGGCTGCATATCATCAGTTAGTATTTACGCAAAAATATTAACTGATGATATATCTTGAATGTATACTCGATCGACAGAACAAAATTTCTTTATATCTTTACCTACCGTTGATGCCTTCCATCTCGACTAAAAGTTCTGCTGTTTGCTGCTGATTTCATATAGTAGCAACAATTTATAGCATGAAAAAATCGGAGTAAATTTATTGGAAAAATGGAATGCTATGAATCTTAATTATAAATATTAATTTAATATTTATATATATTTTATATAATTACTTTATTATATATATTATTTATATTTAATTATATATATATATATATAATTATATAATTTAATTTTTATGAAGATTTTTTATATACGAAAACAAATATTTTCTAAAATATTGCTTTGAAATTTTCATTATCTGAAAATATAAAGTTAAAAATATATAGAAATTTTGTTATTTAAAATATCGATCTTAGAATCTGTAGAATATTACACAATTTCACTTTTTATTCTTTGGAACTTATGCCTTGAAGTAGAGTTTAGTAGTAGTAGTTAAGTAGTGTTTAGTTGCATGCATGCGACCAGATTGCAGCTTTTACAGATGCTGCATAAACCATATGCGATTGTCGCACTTATATTTATTTGTAGTAAAACGTTTCCGATTATCTTTCACATTTTATTTTATTCTAATTTTCAACTACCACGCGGCAAATAAACTAGAAATGTATAAAATTTATTTATCATTTCCACATTGCTTCTTCTTGAAGAAATAAGACAGCCTGAAATAACAAACAATATATTTTTTATTGATTGTGAGAAATATATGTTGAAAATTCGTTGAAGTATCTCTTTGAATAGGAATCAAACTAAATGACACATGCTATCCTATAACGATTTTTCCATAAATGGAAACTGCGCATATTCAGTTAAATAACAGTTCCTACCTCGACTTTGTGTCATACTTATCGAAGACTATCCTGTCAGGCACAAGTGTGTGCTTCACACGTCAATTTTGTGTCAGTGCGTGTAAATACAGGCCTCGCCTGACAAAGTGCTTATCCCCATTCTGACAGCAATCGAAGCGCAGTCGTAATTTAAAATATTGACGCGTAATTAAACTTTAAATAGCATAATTTAACGTGAACATCTTTTTACAGAAATTAGAACGAGCTTTTTCAAACTTAACTATTATATTGTATTATCAAATTAATATATTATTAATTTCTTAATCAAATTTATAGCTATTAATTTCGCAGTGATATTTTATATTTTTTTTAATTTGAAATTTTCTATAACAAATAATTTTCCTTAGTTTGGAAAATAATTGTAACTTTATTATATAACTAGTAGCACAGCTATACCATCTTTCTAACTATGCTCTCTTACAATTTGCGACTAAACTTATGAGAAACACATATAGAGGCGATTTATAACTTGCAAAGGCACGTGCCGAAACGTAGGACATGTCGTAATAATTTTCGAAATATACACCCTCCATTACACGCCCCTGCTGGTTCATTCGAATCGCCTTTGCTCCCTTACACGGATCACAAATTGTGCGAAACATATCGACGACGTCCGGCGTCCATATCGTGGCGAGTCTCTCTTTATTATGGAAATCTTGCGTAAAAAAAAGGAAGAAAAAGACCCTCGGGATGATAAAGGGCGAGGATCGTTAATGAGAGCGGATATGCTCGCCCACGTACGGCGCATGAAAGTTTCCCATGCGAATTTTGCCGGGATATTAATTGTCGCGGAGGCGGTATTTGGGATCCCCAAGTTGTTTCGTTATTAAATCGTAGACAGCGATCGGGACTCTCAATTGAGACTTCGAATATAATAGGGAGGCGAGAAAAATTATCAGCAAGTTGCGCAATACAAATATTTCAAGCGCAAAGAATTTCTGAGATTTAAGAAGGCTTTAATATAAATTATGCAAGTGTCAGATGTATAATAAATAATTTCTTTATTAAAAAAAGGGAATTTAATTTATGAGGAGAAGTATCTTGCGATAGGGATATTTGTTAGGCAAACGCAAAGAGTCACGAGGAAAAAGGATAAAGGGATAAACAAAGAAACAAAATAAGAATAAGATAGAAAAATTAATTAATTTGCGCAGAAAATTTTAATTAATTAATTTTATCGCAGAAAAAAAATAGGAAGCAGCGACTCGAATTTGAATTATTCGTCAAAACCTTGCTAAGAATTTAATTTAATCAAAATAACGAGTCAAGAAATTTTTCTGTTTAGAATGAAAAAAATAGTATTCTTTTATCTTTCTGACATTCTAGGAGGAAAGATAATAATGATAATAATAGTGAAATAACAAGTTGCGTAATACAAATATTTAATGTGCAAAGAATTTCTGAGATTTAAGAAGGCTTTAATATAAATTATGCAAGTGTCAGATGTATAGTAAATAATTTCTTTATTAAAAAAAAGGGAATTTAATTCATGAGGAATCAAGTATCTTGCGATAGGGAATTATTCATCAAAACTTTGCTAAGAATTTAATTTTTTGCAATTAAAATAACGAGTCGAGAAGTTTTCTTGTTTAGAATAAAAAAAAATCAATAGTATTCTTGTATCTTTCTGGCATTCTAGGAGGAAAGATAATAATAGTGAAATAATTTCAAATAGGGTCAATTATTTTAAATTCCACTCTGTACAACTTCATTATCGCGTCGCAACGTCATTATCAACTTAAATTTACCAACTCGCTTCTCTAATGAAGGCTCGGGCTACAATGGCGCATCGTGTGCTATAAAATTTTTGTCCCCCGAAAATGTGGAAAACGCGGACGGAATTATCGTCGAGCAATCGTCGCAATAACGCACGTCGGAGAGAGGAAAAAAAATTGAAAAAAAAAGCCAACTCTCGCGGGGGTCGAGACCAAGCGTGTTAGCCGCGGGGTTGTAAGTTAACCCCGCTAACTGGTCGCGGAACACGAGCGTCCCCGATGGGGGGCCTCTCCGTCGGGGGTGTTCGTTACGCAACGAGCCCTTTGAGAGGGTCACGTGCCCGCGCGACGGACCCTTCAAGCCGATATCGTATTTGTACAACACGCACGGCCATTATTGTAATACGCTTGTTTGTGTGTTTTGCGCAGTCTTTGTACGACGCCTCCACCCTCTGCATGATCCGTCTCCTCTCCATCTTTTTCTTTCATATTTTCCCCATCTCTTCACCTTCCTCTCTCCTTCTCTCTTTCATTCTTCTCCTCACCTTTTCTTATTTCTCTCTCTATTTGCTCATATTCAACATAAATGGTAGTAAAGTATTCGAGTCGCTGCTTCCTATCTTGAGCTTTTTTTCTGCGATAAAATTAATTAATTAAAATTTTCCGCGTAAATTAATTTATTTTTCTATCTCATTCTCATTTTGTTTCTTTGTTTATCCCTTTATCTTTTTTCCTCGTGACTCTTTGCGTTTGCCACGTTTTCGCACACTTGTCACGTAGGTTTTTATTGCGAACAGCGGGCTATTATTGTTCTGTGAAACAATAAGCACTCGCAGTTTTGAAAGGGTGGACCCTCCCTCGATTCGACGAATCGCGTGGGAAACGTCGTGGCTTTTTTTTCATGAGGCGCGAGTCAGCTTTTTTCTCTCGAGTATCGTGGGGATGCAAGAAGACGTCTGTCGCGCGTCAAACTTACTCTTTTCGATTCTCCCAGTCGATGTGAACGCAAATCAAATCTAGCGAAATCCATGCTATAATAATAAACGGAAACAATGGTCGATTATAATGGCATGTCAATCGAAGCACCGCATCGAACGCAGCCCGTCCTCGCCGTCCACCACTCTTCATGGGTGGCTGGAAGGAGGCAGCCCTGGAAGTGGACCGCGCATCGTATAAATAGCGGAACATTATCCTATCTCCCGCGGTGGGTACCCGCGGCCGGGTTTCTCTCGGCTCTTTCGGCGATGCGATGTTACCCTCGCTTGCCTCTCCTTGCTTGGCACAACTCGGCTCGGTGTCGTGCACGAGCGCCGCTCGAACGTAGATGATGGGATGACGGACCGCGGGCGTGTCCGAGTAGCCGATACCGGGCGCGTGATCGGGGGACCTCCCGGGGGCCGACCACCCTCGAGGGGCCACGAGGGTCGACTTGTTAGCCAGACACAACGGGCACTCTCGAAACTAACGGAGCGAATTCTCCTCGGCCGACGACAGCCTGAACGTTCAGAGCCGACAATGTTCGTGGTATATTCGTCGCAAGCTTGCGAATATTTGCATCTCTCTCTCTCGCCTCGGCTGTCCCCCTCTATCTTGAGCTCGCACTGAGAAAAATCGTTTGATTGTACCGACAAGACGTATCTGATTGAAGGTATTTTAATCAAATCAAGCAGAATTTCTTGTTATCGCGGTAAAATTCGATTTCTTACAACTAGAATGTTTAATAGAGTTTACTACAAGGAGTATTCTCTAGTTGAATCTATAAAACTTCTTGTTATACTAAACATGGACACAGTGATGTCATTTTTGTTGTATGTTTAGTATTATTAT